CTGGAGGGCCAGCTGTGGGGCACCACGGAGTTCTGGGAGTGCAGCCTCTATCTCAAGTCCCAGCTCTTCCTCTGGCCATGTGGTCCTGAATGGCCTAAGCTTTTTGGTATCTGTACTGAAGAACAGACGTGCCAATCCTTCAAGCGACTCCTAGGCTCAGCCATGACCCCTCAGGTGAAAAATGGTGGACACAAGTCTGGGTCCCGTTGCATCAACAGCCCCAGGGAGCCATCACTATACCCTCCGCTCACCTAGATCTTCCAGGAGCAGTGGACACACAGGGCACCTCCTACCGGCTTTAGGGGCACACAGGCCTCCTAGTCTGACCTGCATGGGCCTTGGGGCTGGTCCCATGCCACCCTCTGAAGTTAGAACTGCAGTCCAGGTCACTGACCACAAGACCTCCTTCCTTCCAGGTCTAGGGCTTCTCTTGAGTGCTGGATGTTTGCCTCTGAGCTCCCAGCCTGAGAAGGCAAAAGGTGGTGACAGGTAGTCAGGTAATGTCCTTTCCCCCGTCCATGGCCAAAGTTGGACAGCAGGGTCCATGCAGGAACATATCCAGGCTACCTAAAACAGAAAGGCTGACCAGGGCCAGGCGTGGTGGCACACATCTGCAAGCCCAGGAGTTTGAGGCTGAGGTGGAGGCCTAAGAGCCCAGGGCCAGCCAAGGATCTATGCTGAGACTGTTACAAAAAAGCCAAAAAACAAATACAAAAGACCAGGAGGTTTTGTGCTAAAGCTATTTTGTGCAAGCAGCACATTAAATGGTGTGTGTGTGTGTGCTAACAGTGCTGTTAAGGTTTATGTGGTCGAGTATTAGCTGGAAAATCATGTTTTCTTAAGACAGAATCTGGGAAGGCTTGTCAACACACAAGAGTTGAGATTCCTGGAACTTGGGCTGTTTGAGGAAGGGAGAATCTGAAGGACTGTGTAGAGGCCTTAAAAGGAAAGTCTGTTCACAAAGAGACAAAGGGACTGACTTATGTATAAACTTAAAAGAGGAATGGACAGTTTAAAAATTCCTCAACGTTTAAACACACCGGGGCGGCCACTCGGGCTGTTAACAGATTAACCCACAGATTTCAAGTTCTGATTTGTCTTCTCTTAAATAATAATAATAATAATAAAAAGCCTTGAGGCCTGCATACAACCAACTTGAAGCTCTTATCTACACACATGGACAGTATTTATAAACAGCTCACAGGCAACCTGAACTGTATGGACCACAGACCCGTCCCAGAGCCGGTGTCACGCCAGCTCCGGCCTCAGACTTACACAAGACGAAAGACCCCCGCCAGAGACGCCAAGCGAGGTCCCCCGCCCCTCGGTGCGCGTGGATGGATGGCGGCGGGCGGGTCACAGCGGCGCAGGCTGGGCGGG